ACAAGGGGCAATGGGCACAAACTGAAGCAGAGGAAGTTCCGTCTGAACATGAGGAAGAACTTCTTCCCTCTGAGGGTGACGGAGCACTGGAACAGGCTGCCCAGGGAGGTTGTGGAGTCTCCTTCTCTGGAGATGTTCAAGACCCGCCTGGACAAGGTCCTGTGCAGCCTGCTGTAGGTGACCCTGCTTTGGCAGGAGGGTTGGACTAGATGACCCACAGAGGTCCCTTCCAACCCCTACCATTCTGTGATTCTGTAATGGTAAGGTTGGTTAGTCAGGAAAGGACCGAGGTTTTTCCTTCTTATTAACAGATAATGGTTAACTCGTATTTTATTGATGTGTGTGCAGTAGTGATTCTTTCACAATATGGTCATGTATTATGGGTTAGAGTTTTGTTCAGTGTAGCTTTCAGAAGAAAGTTATGTGCAACCACTTCTTAAAACCAATAATTATGATTGATTTATTCAGCATTTTACTAAGAGGTAAAACTAGAATTTTTTGTTAAAAGACTTTCTTAAAAATCAAGACTATTTTAGAATTCTGAACATATGTAAAACATGTTCTTGTTAGTATGATGAGGCTTTAGAATGTGGATTTTATTAGCTGAATATAATGCCATGAAAATGGAACTTGATTTTCTAATGATCTTGATAAATCGAAGTAATATCAGGTAGTTACCCCTCAGGTGAGAGCTTTATTCTACACTAATACATGTGTACAAAGTGAACCATTTAAAATACGGGTCTTTTGCATAGCTTTATACTAGCACACTTAACACCAGTGAAATGCCTTTTAGTAATGTTCTTCAGTACATTTTTTTTGCTGCAGAATAAAGCCCTGAATTTCTGCCCCAGTCTCTTGACATTGCTGCAGTTATCTACAGCACTTGTCTTGTGGCTGTGCATAAGAGGGCTCTGCAACCATTGTTGATATCTGCAGGAAGGAGTTCTGCTCGTATCAGTGGATTTATTAGGAATTACAGATGGGGTAGAAATTACTTTGAAGTGATTATACCATTTGTGCTATCACATACTGATTTTACAGTAAAACTAGGCCGCAAAACTGGAGGTGAGAGCACAATTTGTTTTACTGACCACTGTTAAAAACAGCATTTTCAAAGCTTTCAAGATGTTTCTGTTGTCATGCACTGGTCTATCTCAAAGAAATAAAGCCCCACTTGCTCTCTTGACTGCATAATAAATTGACTGATGTAGTTCACTTGGGGAGTTAAAAATGCATTGAAAATAATGGGGCATAACATTCTGGGGTTAACATTTATTCATAGATGATGCAATTAAATAAAACAGGCATTAACTTTAAGGTCAGTCAGTAAAGTAATAAAAGTGAATATTGTAATTGAATTATAATTGCTTCCCTTTGATACATGCAAGTTAAGTGAAATAGATGTCAGTGCTGCAAATTATAGTTCCCTTCCTAATTAATTTCTTAATTCTACATACAGTCATCCAGGCCCTGGACCTTGTTGTTGGTTTATCCACCCATCCGGCTTTCTTCACATCTAGTTTCTTGAAGGAAAAATCTGGAGGATGTGGTTAAATGGAATGCACTAAGGATTTTCAATATGTTGGGTTTTTTTAGTCTAAGTCATTTTAAGAATCTGAATCAATTTACTCCTTAGTTTAAAGAAAAACATTCCAAATAGAAGTATAGATCTATATTAACTGTTTTGTAAGTATGGTTATAGATACTCGTAACAGCAGTAGACATACAGCTTCATCTGTATGTGCATACCATTAGACATCGGAGATTTGGATTACTGGTTCTGCAAATTACAGGTTACGCTGGTTCTTGATGCCTTTAGCAGACAGTCTTTATTCACTCACAATACAAACCTGTTGGAAAGTAAAGGAAATAATATTTTTCAAAAGAAAGACAAGCTATCTGAAAATAGAATTCTCCTGAGAAACAGAAAATATACATTGCACTTCCACAGATTTTCATGTAGGTGTGCGATATTACTAAAAGGTTTACCATGTGTATACATAGGCAATTTATTTGTATTTTGTATACTGTTTGTTTAACAGTTTATTTTAACTTACTGTTATGTGTTCATTAGGGGGCAGAACAGTAGGTATATCCTTCTTAATATCAAAAAGGAGTTGTGAAAGAAATGATATGTTAGCGTGTCTAGTTCTTTTTCCCTTCTCATATGTTTGTAATGTATCCCTTGGTTTAAATTTAAAGGAAACCAATTTGTTTTTATCAAGGAGAGGAGTTGCTTTTCTTAGAAAAGTAATTATGTTAATGTAAATGTGTGAAATGGGTAGTGTAATATGGTACTTATTCATTTATTTTAAGAGAAAATGCTTTCTTAGCCTCACATCTGTCCCATTAAAATCCAGCACATAATGCTAAGCTGGTATAAGTAGGAAGACATCACCAGAATCATTGCAACTATTGAAATGAAATTAAGATGTTTCAAAATTATTTCCACAAGCATTAATTATCAGTGTCTTCCATCTAGCAACACACATTTTCAGTCTGATAATAAAGAGCAGTAAACCAGTACCAGAAAAGAGTAGAGTGAGGAAAAAAATCTCAGTCCTCTTTCATTTAAATTATTAAGCAGTTTTTAAATGTTCCCCTAGATAGTAAGGAATTTTTAATGTGCTTTAATGAAATATTTAAAAACTTTATTAATGTTTTGAGATCTCATTCTTTCTAACTTGTTTTAGTTTTACAGGAAGTTAAATATACCAGGATCATCACTGTAAAAATTAAAAGGCATGTCAGCTATTTGAACTCAGCATCGACTTTATATAATAGTATACCATACATTTATATAACAGCTTTCATCATCAATGATCAAAAGTGCTTTGCAAGGTACATACTTTGGAAATTGCTTCTAAATGGAGTAATTCTCGTGGCAACTCTTAAATGATACCCATTATTGTATAAAGCAGCAGAGTAGGAAAAAATAGACGAGTATTGCTATCAGTACAACAGTAATTAAGGGTAATAAGAAATGTGATCACTGAAATTTTTCCAGTGTTCCTTCACTTTCAGAAGTCATAATTGTTTTTTTTCTTATTTACTTCGTTTGTTAAGACCCCTTGACCACTTCGTCTCAAATCCAACTAGCGTGTTTATTTGGTTGAAGATGATGTCGGCTCTTGATACAGTTGTTTCTAGATGGTTTTTATCCCAGTACTGATTTCTGCCAATTATTTGATTTATTCCTGAGAAGTGACCATTTAACAGCCATGGGTTGGCAAAACTCAGAAAGTCAAAAAGCTAAAACAGGAACACAGAGGGTCGAGTTAAAGGAATTATCGAATGTTAATAGGCCTCACTTTTTTACCAAGAAAAATAAATCAAGATGTAGATATCGTACAGAATGTTTCTTGATGGATCAAAAAGTACAACATTAAAGACATTCTGTAAGTCTGAGTTTTCTTTATATCTCTATCCTTTTTAATTCTTACCTTTTTTCATGTGGGTCACACACAGAGAATGTGATTTAGCAAAAAAGTTTTTGTTATGCAAAACAGTCTGTGTCCCAGTAATTTGCAAAAACTATAAAAATTAACTTGTATTTTAATTTGGTAGGTGTCTACAAAGGTAACTTCTGACTTGGAGGTAATTTCTGTGTAGTATTTTTGTTACCGTGGACCCACATTTACTTCACTGGTTAGTGAAATTTCTGGGAAAGGTAAACAATAGCTTTTCCAGTTGACACACAGTAAAAAGGTAACTTGCCTTATTTTTCCACAAAAATGGAAACCAATTGCCCAGAGGGGAGAAGAGAAAATTCTGAATAAATGTGTTTTCTTTAGGATAGAAATTGTCTTAGATAAAATGGGACTAGTTTCTAAGGGAGACATCCTATATTTAAAAAAACAAAAAAATCCTTGCCTGATGTCATGGCAGTACTTTATCAAAAATACTTATACTTTTTTTTTTTTTTTAAGGTTTACATCCAGATAAACATTTAGGAAAAACTCTGGATCAAATGGAGCCTTATCTTTTGGAGGTGAGTATTACTTAAATGATACTCATACAGGTAAAATTAAAAAATAAAAAGTAACATAGGCGTAAGTTCAGTAAAATTAACTTAATCAGAAATTACTGAGTTTTACCTCCAGAAATTAGGTGCTAACCCAAGACTTTTCTTTGTGTGTAGAATATAAGCCTCTGATAGTCACTTTCAATATGAAAAAAAGTATTTCTGGAGGTAGTTCACAAATGGTGCCAGCGACTTTAAAACAAGCTAAAGGCTGGAAACCTCAAGGGAACACTAACTCGTATGTCAGTATAATAAAGCTAAATAATTGCATGCAAGTTAGAGACTTTCACAGCAAGGAATGGTAGTGGCAAAATCATAGGTGATACAAAACTTCCCCACAGATAGCCCAGTCTGAAGGTTTCCTACCATTTTTTACACAGTCAGATTGCATAAAGTGGGGCCTTTCAGAAATGGAAGAAGAGTTTCTTTCCAGAGGATCTACTTAATTCTGTGCAAAGGGTTATGTTCCTCAAAGCAGGAAAATGCTTGTAGGCAGAGCTAATAGATTTACTTAAAGAAAAAAATAAGGGGGAAAAAAAATCCACCAGATTTTGTACACAAGTGTTCTTTGAGTTTGAGGTAGAAGCATCAAACATCAAGCTAAGTACAGTTTAAGAGTAGCAGCTATGCAAGTGTGTTTACATGTATTGTCTATGACAAAGACAGTTTACCACAGTTCCTTGTCCTCGAGTCTGTTAAAAAACCACAAATTGCATGTTTGGCTATTAAGAGAGTCTTGCTGTAACTTTTATCAGTGTAAGCTGTCTACATTTGCAGAAAATGATCTCCTAAAAATACTTTTTGTTGTTAATCTGCGTAGTTGCATTTCAGCCTAGCTTTGTAAGCAGTTTTTCTGGAACAATTTACGGCATGACAAATTTGCAGAACAGAAAGTAAAAGTAACCAGAACTTGTTAGGAACTTTAAAAATCTCTTTTGCTGCTGAAAGATAGCGAAGTTAAATAGGAATTGTGTCTTGAGTTTTACTTCATTTTGTGAGTCATATATGTGACTGGAGAGAAGAGGATAGATAATTGGTACTTGGCAAAGCTGAAGAGGAAGAATGAAGGTCAATAATGTTCAGATAGTCTTACTTGAAGAGATTGTTGTTGGCCTGTTCTTAGCTGGAAGTTTGTTACTTCTGCTTCAGAGCTGGAGAATCTGCCCAGAAACCTTTTCCCTGCCCACCGATATGAACTAGTTGATGTAAAAATCCCCTTTATTAGCTCTTTTTGTAAGTCTTGCTTCACTTGCATCTTTAGATCATCTCAACTACTACAATTCAAGAATGCCAGGAGATGGGAAGGAGAGGTGTTTTCTCCTGCTCCAGAAAAAGGGAAAGAAGGGAAGTAGGGAAACAAATATCTTCCTAATAACATGTAGTATGGATTAAAAAGCAATGGCAGAGATATACAGTAGGAGTGCACAAAAATAAGCATACACTAACAAGACATTAAATGTTTGTTCATACTTTGTCATTAGCAGATGTTTTATTTCATGGGGTGGTAATAGAGGTAGACTTAAAACAGTAAATAGTTGCTAAATCTAGGGACATCTGTAAGATCCAAGAATGGTTAGAAGAGGGAGGGGATTGATCCTTTCTGAAAAGTACAGATTGGATTTCAACAGGAGAAGGAAGCAAGAGAGAATGAAATCACCACTTCAAGCATCAGTGAGCTTTTGGACTAGGCAATATAATCTAACTGAGCACTGAGCTGGCTTTGAATGGGAAGCTGTATTAATGTGGCTGTTTGGCTCAGCTGATAAGGCACTGAGAACCAGAGCCCGCAAGTGTCAGTTCACCCCTTGTGAACAGTCTGCTTCCAGGAGCTGGACTGCTGAGGTGGCATTGAGCTGCGTGCACGTGCTAGACTGGAGTCTTCATGGCACTCCACGTCTGTGTCGTAGGCCTGCTCTGACACTGGAGTGCTGTATAGTGCGAGAGAGTAACACTAGTGTGGAAAAGCAGTTTTACTGACATGTGAAGTCACGTTCTGTGTGTACTTAGGAATGGCTTCTGGTTGATCAGTTCTCAGAAAGGTTGTTTGGAAGATCTTTGGAGTCACGGGTAAATAACATGTAGTTTAAGACTACAATAAACATTTAAGTGTTCCTCCTCCAATTTGCTGCTGCAGATCACTTAAGCAATGTTTCTGTTTGTCAGAGCTGTTCCTTTAAAATCTTTGTAAGTGACAGTTAAGGAAGGATAAAACTTTGTAATCACCTACGTTTGCAGAAAGCTTCTGTGACCAAAATTCAGGTTGCAGCTTTGGTGGGGCTGTGGATGGTTAGCTGCTCACCTCAGATGAGTCAGTAGTCTTGAATTTCTTTGAAACAGTAGCAGCATTATTGTAATTTTAGCTATGTTAATAGGGTATGATTAAATTAAGGCTTAAGAAATATTATTCTCCATTTGATTTTGTGTCATTCATTCATTTTTAAAAAGAAAATTATAAACTTAGAAATCCGAAAGTACTTGGTATTTTGGGGAATGAAATTTATTCTTCCTGAAGTTTGGTGGATGAAGTGAAGTGATTCTGACTTACTTGGTTTCACTGAAATTCTTACTGTCATGGTTTAATCCTTCTCAAAACTCATGTTTGCAGGTTTTATCTTCTATTGATACAGCAATAAACAGAGCAATGACTGCATAGCTTAAGGTGTAGAACTAGGAGGGCATTCTGACCCTACTTGGAAATGGTTGTCAGGCCATTGCAGAGGAGACCGCACTGATATTTGTTCTTGTAGCTGTTTCTTATGCATATGCATTCTATGAAAGTCAAAGTCAGTACAAGTAAATTGTTTTTACTGGATGCTTAGTTGGCTTTAAGGCCTAATAAAACCAAATCATTAACTGTAAACTGAAGATAAATGGTTAGGTTTATGAGGTGAAAAATACTCTCTTGCAATCCAATGAAGTCTTCAACATCAGAAGTTCTGGCAGACAGAATGTGAGAGCAAGGAGTTCACAGTTTTCAGTAAGGAGGAAAGACAAAATTTAATATTCTGACCATACCAAAGCTAACGCCATGATAAACTCATTTCTAACATTGCACATCCCCAAAATGACCACAGATTTATACTCTTGTATCTTTGATTTGTGTTGTATTATCTAACCAGTATTTTCAAATTTTACAACAAATTCCTTGAAATTTGTTGTTCATGTTGTTTTTTTACCAATCTATGCGTTTTCCTATTCTTGCGGGGTTCTCTTTTGAATTCTCTATTGACGTCTAATATTCTTTACCTAGTTGTTTATTCAGCTAGGTACAGGATTTTTCATGACAGCATTTTCACTAGTGTGGTGTGCAAGTCTGTGAGATTTTTTGGCAGTTCTGTTTAAAATTAATTAAATATTGCTATCAGTGTTCTTCAGTTTTGTTCAAAACCCATTTATATCTTAGTTCAGTGCCCAGAAAAATGACAGTGTTTAATGTAAGAAGGTTTTGGTATTGAACCACAACATTTGGGATTGGTAGGAAATATCCTGATTTACATTTTAGCATGTATTCACAAAGTTCAACTTCTCTTATATTACAGATCAGGAATTAGGACCTTACTTACTTCTTTTTATACTAAACATTTACCTTAAAGAAGCAGCAATGAAATCAAAATCAACTTGTGTTACGGTAGTGTGCCTATTATAATTTGTCTTTTGGATGTACAAGAAATAAGCATAAAGTAACAATTTTCTTGTTCGAAAAATCTCTTCTTATAGAATCATAGAATCATAGAAAGTTTTGGGTTGGAAGGGACCCCAAGAGGTCATCTAGTCCAACCCCCCCGCAGCGAGCAGGGACACCACTAACTAGATCAGGTTGCTCAGAGCCCTGTCCAACCTGATGTTGAATGTTTCCAGGGATGGGGCCTCCACTACCTCTCTGGGCAACCCGTTCCAGTGTTTCACCACCCTCATTGTAAAGAATTTCTTCCTTATATCCAGCCTAAACCTACCCTGTTTTAGTTTAAAACCATTACCCCTCGTCCTGTCACTGCTGTCTCTACTAAAAAGATTGTCCCCATCTTTCCTATAGGCTCCCTTTAAGTACTGAAAGGCTGCAATCAGGTCTCCCTGCAGCCTTCTCTTCTCCAGGCTGAACAAGCCCAACTCTCTCAGCCTGTCCTCATAGGAGAGGAGCTCCAGCCCTCTGATCATTTTTGTAGCCCTCCTTTGGACCCGCTCCAACAGTTCCATGTCCTTCTTGTGCTGAAGACTCCAGAGCTGAACACAGTACTCCAGGTGAGGTCTCACCAGAGCAGAGTAGAGGGGCAGAATCACCTCTCTCGACCTGCTGGCCACGCTTCTCTTGATGCAGCCCAGGACACGGTTGGCCCTCTGAGCTCCCAGCGCACATTGCCGGCTCATGTCCAGCCTTTTGTCTATCAGTCCCCCCAAGTCCCTCTCAGCAGAGCTGCTCTCGATCCTTTCATCCCCCAGCCTGTATTGATAGCGGGGATTACCCCGACCCAGGTGTAGGACCTTGCACTTGGCCTTGTTGAACCTCATGAGGTTCACACAGGCCCACCTCTCCAGCTTGTCCAGGTCCCACTGGATGGCATCCCGTCCTTCTGGTGTCTCGACCGTACCACTCAGCTTGGTGTCATCTGCAAACTTGCTGAGGGTACACTCGATGTCGCTGTCCATGTCATTGATAAATATATTGAACAGCACCGGTCCCAGTACGGACCCCTGAGGGACTCCACTCGTCACTGGTCTCCATCTGAACATTGAGCCGTTGACCACTAACCTTTGGCTGCGACCATCCAACCAATTCCTTATCCACTGAACGGCCCACCCATCAAATCCATGGCTCTCCAATTTAGAGAGAAGGATGTTGTGGGGGACCGTGTCAAAGGCTTTACAAAAAAACAGATAGATGACGTCCATTGGTTTTCCCTTGTCCACCCTTGTTGTTACACCATCATAGAAAGCCACTAGGTTGGTGAGGCAGGACTTGCCCTTGGTGAAGCCATGCTGGGTGTTGTGGCATTATGAGTGTCAACGTTAATTGAAAAAAAATCCCACAAAAACTAAACCCATAACCCAGCCCTGATTTCATCCACTGAATTATTTAACTTCAGAAAAATACAGTCACCTAAATTTTCAGTCTTCCGATTTACTGTAGTTTATGTGTGCAATAGAAATGATAATAATTACTGACATAAAGTTGAGATGATTTTGCTGCTGTAGCAGCAGAAAAATGGTGGAGTATTTAGTGGGAAAAACTTCGATTTAACTTTGCAATTTTTTCTGACTTTACATACCGAAGTTTGAACTTACGACTACAATGGTGATCTACAACCCATACTTTTATCAGGGGTGAATTTTACTGGCTGAGGACATGTGCATTGTGAGAAGGAAAGTTCTTGAATTATTACTTTTTTCTGAATGATAGGTCTTTGATTAATTATTGACGAATGGCTGCTACCTAATTGCTACATTATGAAATTGGTGGTATGTCACATTGTTTCCTACATACCAGGAACCCAAGCTTTTTACCCTGAAGAATTTGTTGGCAACTTGGTGAATCTCAGGGGCTGTTTACACTCCTTGGAATTTATGAATAGAATGGTAAATGCATATTATGGTAATATTGGCTGTACTCCTGCCTCTGCTAACAGACAATAAGAAAATGTTTAGCCATTTGTATGCTTGCCTTAGCAGTTGATGAGTACTTCTTGGTAAAGAACATTTTAGTAATTATAGAGAATTTACTAAGTGTTGCAGTTTCTGTCTGGGAACAAAGTCTTCACTTGAAAAAGGAAGCACTTGAATTCATATCTTTTATCTTTGATTACTAAAATTAAATGAGAAAGTCAGCTTGAATCCTTGTGTTTCGTTCCCAGGGTAGGAATAGACTGTTCTTCAGGTAATGTTTGGGCTGATTTTTTGTATATGTTGTGTCTCATTGTGTATTTGAGTTAAGATTAGTTTTTCATTGTATTTCTTTTGGATTTTGAATTAGATTTGCATGTTTACTGAAGTGTAATTTGTAAATTTGCTGTATTCTGGCTCATCTGAACTAGAAAGCAGATATCATAAAATTTAGATTAAAGTCTAAGATGTCATATTGTTATGAATATAATATCTAACTTGCAAAACAAAATAATTGGTCTTCAGAAAAATGTTAATACTCTAAATGACTGAAAGGCAAAGTTCTGGGGTCATTGATGACATTTTAAAAATATTGCTGACTTTGTTAAATGAACATTAAGGATGTGTTCTATGAGCTGATGAATATCCTCAGTTCCTTTTGACATTAGTTGGAACTGAAAATGCTTTAGCACCTTGTGTAATTGGTGTCAAGAATGATCTTGAAGCCAGTGACACTGAAAATGAGGATTTCCCACATCAAAGATACAAAATAGTCTCACATCTTTGGAGTATTCGATGCTAATTGTCAATAATTATTCTAGGCACTGGTAGTTACAAGCAGAGCTACCAATTTTGAAAGTGACTTGTAAATAGTCACGCCTTGTATTCGCTGTGGAAAGGTTACAATTAGAAAAATCTTTTCTGTTTTTCTCTCTTTCATATTTTTAATAGTTTTGTTTAGGTTTTCTTGCAGTGGAAGCTACAATGAGAGGAAGAATAAAAGGTTTTGACTAACTGTTTTATAGGTTGTCCATTCTTGTTGCATCAACATTAATTATTGTTGATGTATTTGTCCTATAGAAACCTTGTTGCTATTGTTGACAGATGGAGTTCTCTTTTATGTCAGGAGTGTAATTTTTTCATGAGCACTTGATTAAAGGTTTTCTTCTACTCCTTTTCTTTAAAAGAAAATGTGAAAGGAAAACTGAGAAATCTCTCTCATAAGACACTGAAAAATTATTTAATATATGTTCCAAAAGATATTTAGATTTTACACCACCAGACAACTAAAAGGTTATATAGTGCATTACCAAGGTACGGTTTTCTCAAAGCATTTGTACTTTTCTCCAAAATAAAGACTGAAGAGGATTCAGGCCTTTTGTGTAATTAACTGAATTTTAGATTTAAAATGTGGTCTTCGATTTTATGAAGACATTCAAATTCCATGTATTTCTTCTTTCACACCTAATTTTGATTTTTGTTTTCAGATGAGATGATAGCTGAAGTTGTAAACACTCTTTGAAGTTTTGAAATAAAACACTTTGAAACAGAACTGTAACACAAACCATACATTCAGCTTCAACAATAAAAAAACTGCATCATTTGAATATATCAGATAGACTTGCTGTACAAATATTCTGGTAATCATATAAAAAGTTGTGCCTAAAACGTGTAAATAACTCAGTCTCATGCTTACCTAAAAACATACAAGCAACAGACTTGGAATTATTTTTTAGCCCCCAGACAGACTTTTTCTAACTGTGTCCTATGTGTTGTGGAGAATTGCATTGCTACTTTGACTGCAGAAGCATCATGGGTGGGCATCTGTTCCTCTAAGGGAAAGCCTAAGGAGGTTAAGTAAATATTCCCAGTGGTAACATTGGTGTTAGCAATGGAGTTAAGGACTGCAGTTCAGCTTCTCGTGAACTGCTTGAAGCAGAATGTTGATGCTTGCTTAAGGTGAAAAAGCGTGGACAGGACTTGGCTTGAAGCAGTTGGTGCTGGAACACTTCAGAAGGTGGTATAATCTGCTGATGAGGAGACAAATTTCTCCTGAAGAAGAAGGGAGACCATGCTCAGGCGTGGTACAGGTGCTTGATTACTACCTAGCAATACAGTATATTAATACAGAATTGCACTGAACTATTCAGCAGTTGTGTGCCTCTTACTCCAGCAAAAGAACTTTGGTTCCTGCTCCACAGCTGCTCATTTATAAACCAGGGAATAATTAAGATAGTCACGTCTCTTATTTTGAATGTATTGGTTTATATGTTTTAGTGGGATAGCCAGACCTTCAGGAATATTCTTAAATATATATGTTGATTTAGAAAGTATATTCAGTACAATTTGTCAAGTAAACAGCATGTTGGTACCTCATTAGATCTTGCTTTAGCTTTTTGCTTTTGACATGGAAGACACTCCTTGGTTCTATTTGTTAGAATTTTTTGAAAGAATGGATATTTACCAAAATATAGATGGCAGTTGTTCAATCTGTTGCCAGAAATTGTGTTCATTGTATACTGCTATGTGAAGTGCTACTTCTTGTGTTGATTTACAGTACAAGTTTCTCACAGATCTGTACTATCTACACTAAAGATAGACAGACAAATACGCGAGTCTGAACAACCTGTCATGTCCACTGAGGAAGAAGGACTAGGTATTCATTCATTTATCTGAATGTTACAGTGATGGTTCTACTTATATTATAACACATGGGTTATTTTTAGATTATTATAATATGCATATGGAGAAATCAAGAACTTTCTGTATGTTATTTGGTTTTTTTCAACCTTTTAGTGGGTAGTCTTTCAGAAAGCATACACTGAAATTTTCAGAAAAATATATTTAATAGACAGCTTTAATGTAATATGTATTTTAATTTCCCTTTTGTGCTAGCTTTCTGAGAAATATGGAGTCCATGTTTGTGGAGAAGGTGGAGAATATGAAACATTCACTCTGGACTGCCCTCTATTTAAGAAGAGAATAGTCATGTAAGGAACGGTTTCTTTCATTTCCTTATATTACAGCAATGGGAACACGTGCACATTTAGCTTGAGGCAACTTTTGTTGGCAGAGGTAAAACATGTCTTCTAGTTCACAAACACTCACTTTGTTTAACACTGGCAAAGTCCTCTGAAAACCTAAATCAATACCTGACAAGACGAGGCCTTCATAGTGGGCTATAAACTTTTTAGACATTTGCACTTTCGTTTACTTGCTGATTATGGCCTGCAGTAAAACTGGTACCTACACACTGACACTTTTATCCTTTCATGAAGTGCAAATTGCCTGTAATATTTATCTTTCATTATAGCTACATTTGATAAACTGCCACATCAATAGCCTGTGGGTTCCATTAACTGTGTGTACGTGTGTGTGTGTGTGTGTGTGTGTGTGTGTTTTAAGTTTAGCAGCTTAGAATGATAACGATAAGCATTTTTCTCCAATTACTAGAGAATATTTTAAACACAAACTTTGCATGACTCCATCTCATTTACACTGAGTAGTTTATGCCTTTGACATAAATTGCTAAAGTCTGTGTATTGGGATATGGAAAATATTTGTGTCTTGATGAGAGTTTCTTATTAGTCTGTTAAATAGCTAAGCCTACTTGCTTCAAGTGAGATGTTTTGGCTGCTGTTCCTTTTCTTAGCCAAGTAAACATGCTAGTAATCATGTATTGGTGATGCTCAGTCATGTTAGGGAGGGTCAAGATTATAGAGCATATAGACATGATTAAGGCTTTCATGGTGAAGGGTGATTTGTTTAATTTTTCTGTAAGACTGAAATCTGTCCATGTAAGGAACAGAGAACCAAGAACTGTTAACTCAGTTTCATTGCATGGCATTTGGGAGAGGAGGAGCAGTAGACAAACTGATAAAAGGGGTGGCAGCTACTCTGGCAGATGTCTTTTGAGCTATTGGTTGACTGGAAGATATGTCCTCTGGAGTAAACTGAAAAACTGGAAAATTTGAACCTGGACATAGCTCCATGCATGAAAACTATAGAATTCTTTAGGAAGAAGAAGATTCAGAAAGTAACAATGTGGAATTTTTAAACTGGATTTAAGTTTATAGATGGAATTATAAATGTATGGGCTGGGAAGTGAGACTTGGAGAAGATTCTCTGAGGGGAACCAGGTGCTAGGTAGAAGATGTAGGTTGTGAGCCAACCTGCTGACTAGTAGGAGTTGGAAAGTTAAGCAGGAAGTTAGAATAAAATATGTATTGGGTACCTCTTAACAAAAATAAACCTGAGGAGAAGGGACAAAATTCCTCAATATGCCCTCAGATAGAATCAGTTCAGTCTCTTCTAGCAAAGAGAAAAATATTGTGAAATTGTTGCTGGAGCACAATTTATTTTTGCATTTAAAGTCTGATGTGATTGCTATTAAACTGACAAATTCTTATCAATTCCAGTAGGTGTCAGAGGCAGAATTTTGTGAAGCTTTGTCATTTAAAGTAATACTACCCACTACCAGATAAATGTGGCCGATTCAGTGTTTATATTGCAATACTTGCAATAAAAAGTATACTTTAGAAGAAGGTTAGCTATCTTTGAACTGAGAAATTAAATGCACTTGTATCAGTTTTTTGCACTTAAATGTCTTTGGCTGATTATTTACATTCTTTCTATTTATTTTGAGGCTTCTTATGTTACAGATTAAATCTGGGAGTTTATTGTAATAGGATGCATAATTTCCCAGTGCTCCTTTGCATTGATACAACAGGTTGGAGAAAACTATGACAAATCTCATGAGAAACTCTTGGTGGGGTTGTTTTGGGGTTTTTTTTGCATAGATTTTGAGGAACACTTTTAGGAAAGTACATTGTGCTCTTGGTTTGGGATCAACCAAATACCAGTTTAAGTAGAAATATGTTGTAATATATTGTAAAAGTATTTCTGGCTATCAGTGGTTTAATGACTCTCCAGGCAACTAGGAAAAGCTAAAAAACAGATGATCTGGCTGAGTTGTCTTTATTTCTACGGGTGACACTCCAAATAATAATAAGAGTTAACAATAAATGCACAAAAAAGACAGGAAAAGATAAATATATAAAGCAGTGGGTATTTAATAATAAATATAAGGCACAGCAGACTGTTAAACAGTTAACTAGTTCTGAATGCACATTTCTGTAGTGGAAACTGGATAGCTACACTGATGTTGTATGTCTCTGGCTTGATAACCCTGCTTAGCTCTTACAGTATTCATGTTGTAATGACGTGCTTTATGAGGGGCCATTCATGTGATATCTGTTACTTTTTGAACTTCTAAAGAAAAATATTTTGTAGTTTCTGCTTATTGTGAATCGAAATGTGACAGATTGTGTCTGTAAAAACGAAAACTAAAATTAACTAATTTGAGTCAGCACACAGGAAGTTTATCATTGTCACCAACACATTTGGCATTAAAAAGTTGTGTCTAGTAGTCTTCAATATCAGATGCAAGATGGTCGAATCAGTTTCTCAGCGTGGAATATTGTATGTTGTTAATACATCAAGAACTAATCCCTGGAGCATTTGTCAAGAATGGACTTTTATAAAATCTCCTGTTGATGAAATTAAGATTGCTTTACGTATTAGTCTCTAGAATGTAAAACATAATGTCATTTATACTTTCATAGACTACGGCTTACTGAATCTCTCAGTACTGGTCTGGAAGTGTAGTTTACTCCTTTTGAAAATTGAAAATTAGTGAAGATAATGTGATGTTGGACAATATGATTTTATATGGCAAACTATTTCTTAACTGATATAAAAACTAAATAAGAAATTAATAAATTTTCAGTGAGTTACCTTGGAGTCTGTGTTATATGGTGACTAAGTATTGTATATGTGTAAAATTATATACTAATATTTGACGCTAATAATTCTGTGTTTCAGAGATTCAGCCAAGGTGATTGTGCATTCGGCCGATGCATTTGCACCTGTGGCCTACCTTCATTTTTTAAAATTACACCTGGAGAATAAGGCAAGTAGATTGCAAATGTCATCTTCCTTTAAAGCTACATGCATGCTTTCTGTTTTTATGTTGCTTTATCACAGTTTGGAGTGAAGCTACATATTCTTGTGGGGGTGTACTTTCAAATAACAATGTACATAATTAGTTGAATTTTAGAACCTACCATAAGGAGAAACTCAACACAAGTGCTACCTTGTGTCAAATGAAGGATTGGAGGTAGTATGTTTGTGTAGCATTTTTCAGCTTGAAACCTCACGGTGCTCAGCTGACATGGTTCAGTCAAGCACATGTGTAACCTGTGTAGTACAGCTAGCCACACTGTGGAACGCAGCTGTGTTAGGGAACTGTATGAACAGTGTTGATTTGCTGGGAGGTGGCATCTCTTTTCGCTGCTTCTGATGTAAAGTAGATGATTTGAAAACTGACCTGCAAGTGCTCAATTTTTAAATGTACTGGGTTTTGTTTTGTCTTTTCCATACAAAAGACACATCTATTGAATGACTTCAGTACACATAGAGGAGAGATTATCTTGGTCAGAGGTCTTAAGGGAATCATTAGTAGTTCACTGGGATTCTTTCTCTTAGTTTACGATTCCATAGAAACAGCAGAAAAGGAACTCTAGTAGTTTAAGTATTGCAGGCTTTTGTGTGAGCAGAGCTAAGAAGGTCAAAACAAGTTATTTTTCTTAGTATTTGTCAGTGCTTTTCTATTTTTCTTTGAATTATTCTGTGGGTAAAATGATTTTTTTTTTCTCCTGAACATCTATAAGTGTTAATATTTTGTTGAAGGGTGTCTCATGATCTTCCTGCTACTGTTGCAGTCAACTTTTAATGGTCTTCCTACTTCTTTCTACACTTTGAAGACCACTGAATGTCTTCTAGGTGCAGGGATTGTTATAGAACATTATTATATTTGTATTTTACATTTCATGTCTCTTGAGCAATTACATTTCTTGAATTTCTTTCAACAGATCATGGCTTTTTTTTCCCCTCTATTTTTTAATTTTGTTGTTCCAAACAGATAAGATACCTGTACATTTTACTTCCATGGTGGCCTCATTCTTGCCATGGAAAGTAAACTGTATTTCAACCTTTCAATTTCTAGTTTGGGATTTCTTTCAAAAATAAAACATTAAATATTTGTGTGGGAGACTGTGAAAAGGATATCAACTAACTATGCGAAACAAAACCAAATAAGCTGAATAAAGGAAAATTTGGGAGCGAGGCATGGTGAGGAAGAGTGATAATATATTAATATTTCTTTGAGGGCACTGACTTTATTGCTTATGGCAAACTTGATTCTAAAATGCACCATACATCACTACAATGTGACAGGCTAGGGAAAATGAAAAACACAAAGCTTTACATAAATCAGACAAAATTCATACTAAAATGCATAACATTTTATGTAAGAATCAAGATTTTACTTTTATCTGTTCAGAAGCTCTTTTCCCCTTCTTATGTAGATGTTTTGGATTTGGATAAAGCCTCACAGTTTCAAGCAGTTTTGTAGTAAATCATATTTCAAATTCATCATAGACAAATCTGTCACACTCTCAAAGGGGTGAAGTTTACAGAGGCTTGTCCTGGATTTTGGTATATAAACTAATGTCTTGTAGACTTAAAAGGAAAGCAATCTATTTTCTGCAGTGGTTGTCTCATATGGAAACATGTTAGAATCTTTTGGATATAGGTTATCTTATGCCACAGTAAAATAAGCTAGTGTTTTAGAAGGTACGAATATGGACAACCAGTCAGTCTTTAATAACTAGTTACTAAGTTAGCATGGTTTAACTGCATATTTAGAGAGGTGGCTGCAAGATTGGTATGCCTGTAGTACTGTACTGTTTGTCACTGTTTATTGCTTACCAGCCCTACAGAAAAATTTAAATATCAGTTAGTAATTCACCACTTGAAAGCCAATCCTACAATAACAAATCACTGCAGGGAAAAACTGCTTTAGAAGGAAAACTAATTTTACTTTCAGGCTTTCAAGGGTTTACTGAAAAACGGGCAAAAAATACTCCATTATGAACAATGTATAGAAGTAGGCACTTACGTAAGCACTATGTGAAAACTATTAATAGACTGCACAGTGATATGTAATTCTAATAAGTATTATGACATCAGTTTTGTTATAATTTCAACAGATATACATATTTTTAACTTTTATTGTCAATTTGTTTCATCTCAGTTACGTGCCACAGGTGTTAATTTTACATTCTTTGAATTTACTTTTATAATCATTATGCAATAGTAGCTAGTGTACCTTGGTCACTGCTGTCCTTCCTCCTCTACATTTTCTTTAGCTAAATCTCTTCATGTTGAACTACAAAGCCTGCATAGAAATTTGTTTTAGATTGTTTCTGGCAGCAAAATGAGCCCTTGTGCCTGGGGGAAAGTAACGTTTTACTCATTGTTCTGGTTTAATACATTACGGTGCAACTTCAAGATGTGTTTTTTGCATAATAATTGAAGCTTTTTTTTAAACACACCCTCTTTTCTTTCATTACTAGTGATACAGAAAAGCCTAAAGAGATAAATAAATGCAACACTTTATTATGAAAGCCTTGTTAAAAGTTTCACAGATGTATCTTAAGATGACTTTCTTGTAGGCGTTTCACAAAAACATTAAGAATAAATAGCAATGCTAATAAAACACTAGTGCTCAAAATTTAGGAATGCTTTATTTACTTCATTGTAAAAAACAAGGTCACCACTGTGATGTACATAATACAGGCACCTAGGATCATTGATATTTTACTTTGCCAATAAGACTGTCAGTTTGTACATTTAAAATGTAAGATGTTTTTTGTTGAGGAGGTGGCATTTTCTGAAGTGTGCTCCAGAATCTTTAGATCAAGTGTATCAGCTTTTGTATTCAATACAAATTTAATTCTGAATATTTTCAATTAGGAACAAATACAACTGTGAAACATTTTTTTTACTATGACAGCACAATGAACTTGCAAAATATTTTTATTTTGCCCATATTATACTATTCTGTTACTCTGTTGTGTTGGCTTTTGAATGATCAGAAACAGGAATTAAAACTGTTGGAGCTTCCACTGATGTGAACATAACTTCTGATGACAGTAGTGAACATATTAGCTATCATTCGTGCTTTAAGATTTGCTCTTTCCCACATTTAATAATGAATACTTTGTTCCTGGAGTTCTACTGGGTAGCAGCACACATACATCAGAGAATACAAGCTGTGAAACTGCAGCCCGTTAGGTCAGGGAAAATCCAGAATTAGAGGGAGTCATGTAGTTTGGTTTCTACACTTGGCAGAAGGAAGGAGCCTGTTTGCCTGTGACAGATACAGGAATCATGCCTGCTGCTGCTCTTTCTTGTAGCATACGGTTGCATTGTATTTACCTATCATAAACTGATAGTGTGAGGCTTATTTGTTTTCCTGTTTGTAAAAGATTTTGACCTATTTGGGTGGAACACAAGTGCAAGCAGGTATGCACCTCTTAAACATCAGCAAATCTATTTCACAAGTCAATGTGGAGATGATTTTGAAAACAATTGTAAAAGTTAGAAAAGGTTTTTGGAAGGTATTTACATGGCTTGTGTACTAAAGGAGCACAATCCTGCAGGTTAGATTTGATTTAACTTCATAGCCTATTTCTGTCCAGTTCCTTCTGGCCTGAATTATTTTACTTACCATCCATTTAGGACTTTTAGGTGCAGAATTAGACATTTTAAGTGACGTTAAGGGGAACAGGAAGGGACTTCAAGTTGCAAAATGTGTTTTGCTAGTGATATTATGGGTGGCATTTTTTGATTACTTTGTCATCATTCAGTGATACTTCTAGGTAACCTTTAGTTTTCCTTCTGCATCATAAGAATACGGATAACCCTTGTAGTTATGTTTTCAAAACATAACAAATACTGCAAATTTTTTTTTACATTGATTTATTTCAAACACTAAGACAATAAATAATTTTCTTTCCTACTCCGTTTGATTGCAGATTCAGTCCGATTCTCTGAGAAAAGAGAATTTTTTGTTCTCTTTTGGTAATGAAGGGACTTTATTTCAAAGTCTTCCAGAGTAAAGGACTTTCTTTCCTGTGTGTCTGTGTATTGTACTTGAAGTACTGCAAGGAGATATATGTAGTCTCTCGCATTATGTTTATTTCAAGGAGTTCTGTTATCAAGGCACACCACAAAGAATAAAGATATTATCATAGTCTTTCCGTATTTCTTCTGAGCTCTCTGCCCCACTGTATTCTCAGTGCTGCTCAGTGGGAGAACTATCAGTTTTGGAACTGTGTTGTGATAGGTTTTTATACCAGTTTCGGTAGTGGTGAATGTAAGCTTTTTAAGAAGGCAATCTGTTGTTTTCATAAAAGACCACTGCATGGAATTTCAGCTATATCAGTCAAAGTCCTAGCTCCAAGGCTTTTTCAACAGGAGAATTTGGATCTTGGAACACTCGTGCATTTGCTTAGCTTCATTCTGAGCACACTTGCATCACTGACATGAGTTATGTGAATATAGTTAAGCATATGCATGCATGCAGGCTCTGATCCAAAATTAGGCTGGTATCACAATCTACGGTGGGTGTGGGAGAAACAGTGTAACAAATGGGAAAATATATTGCGTCTGTGAAGTAACGTGAAAATGTTATGTGATAAAATAGGTTCTGTAAGATTTAATTAAAATGTCATTATAGCAAGCTTGATTTTTTGTTTTTAAACTGATGAGAGTATTATTCAGGGAAAGTTAGTCTGTTTGTGGCAGTCTATAACTTTAAGTTTTAAATTCTTAGATTACTTTCTCTGTCGACAGGAATGGAAGACCAACATTTGTGTGAGATTTGAATGTAGCTACTAAACAGAGTCTGGCAGCTCTGCTTAGGCTGGCGTAGAGCCTGTTCTTCTAGTGCCAGGTTCCACACCTAATACTTCTGCTGTAGCCTGCACCTGTGCTGCTGCAGAAAGTGACTGATTACCTATGTTTTTGGAGCATCGTGGGAGTCAGCCTTGAATGAATCATTGTGATGTATCATAGGCATTGAAATCAGCAGTAGTCTATAATTATTTTTACAGTCTCTGCTGTATGTAAGAGACATCGTAGAATTTGTTGTACTACTTAGTAATTTCCAAAAATTTTGCAGCTGACCTGCTGTTTGTATATGTGTATAAATAAAGATGTATAAGTTTATTTATAACTGTGAAGGAATATTGATATAAGCTTAACAATTTCTAAAATATTGATATATTTTGGAAAAAGGAGTGTGACTGTGGATGATTCAGAAATTTAAGGTGGCATCAGTTTGGGATATCTGTAATATTAAAAAAGCTGCAGGAGAGTTCTCTAAGTTAGACCAAACCAGTTGTGATGCAGTCTGTGAGTCTCACTACATCCCCATGAATTTTTTATGAAGCACATTTTGCAGAAAACATGTTTAGAGACATAGCTGAAAGAACAATTTTCATGGATGGCATAAAAATGGAGTAGGTGCTCTTTTCATGTTAACTTGCAGAGCATATAAATTCAGTCCTCCGTGTTAGGGAATGGAGAGAAGTTATGGGTCTCTGATAGTACCTACTCAAGAGATCTGTAGCTCTAGATCTCTTAAAAGGTAATTCCATAAAACTTAACAAAAGCAAAAAACAAAGTGGCTGTCATACTGGCAAGCTGGAACTTTGCCCTTTCCAGTTAACGTATTTTTTTACCTAGTGATGGATTGTTATACCATACTGAAGTTAAAATCCAGGTGATGTAAAAACAAAACCCAAGGCAGCATTGTGAAAGTATCATTCATCTCACCGTGTCTGTGCATGCCTACTCAGGGGGCAGGACCAAGAGGTGCCAACTCCATAATGTCTGTATGTTACATTAGTACTCAGTGAATGCCGGTGCTGCAGTGCGAATTTATTGTTTCATGATGGATGTTACAAAATAGCCAGTGAAAGCAACTAATTTAATAAAACAAGAATTTCCAGGAAGGAAGTGGTAGCACTTTTAGCACTTCATGACACTATACAGTCTGTATATTTCTGTAAACCAACTTTGCATGGATAAAAAAAAATAGAAACTTTTAAGAACAATAGAAAAAACGGAATTTTCTTGGTTCTTGTAGTATAATGCAGATAAAGATCTATTTCAATTACAGATTTGTGTTCCTGCTTCTTTGTTTTCTGAGTCGTACCTGAAGGGTTAGGGGCTACCAGCAGCCCTCTGGGTAACAGCAAATGTATCAAATGACAGCAGTAGTCGAAGGTGTAATTCAGTGAGTGGGAAATGGTATAGATCCTGCTGGATGCTTGTATTTTGTAATGTAGGAATGCATGTTGTGTTTGTGCTAAATGGCAGTTTTCATCTTTGTGCTATTATGTTACATTTAGTTGACTTCTTTTAACCTCTCATGTACAGTTGATTCCCATAAAGTAGATTATTGCCTTGACTTTCATGACTTTCTTGGAGGAATGATTAAAATGAGGTCCAATCAAAGAACATCAGCCCCTCTTAGAGCATGGCTTTAGTATTTACGGCACTTATAAAACTCTCCTTGAACCCTTTCAGAGGCAGCAGAGCTGAGTTTCCTCTCGTAAGTAATGTCCTTGACATAATTTAGCCTTTTCCGAGAGTTTCCAAATACACTGCTTTAACTGGATCCTTTTTCTCTCCAGTGAAGTCAAATATTGGTGTAAATGCTAAGTTCTTACTGCAGGCTTCCAATGCATACTATAGTTTTCTGCCTTTTTTTTTCTCGCTTTTTTTACTGCTTAATATCGAGAAAACTTTTGAAGTTGCAAGAAGATATGTTTTCTTTTCCAAAGGAAAGAAAAAATGTATTAAAAAAAAATTTAAAATGTCTATATTCAAATTTGATTATCAATTTTTAATATAACCCATTTTGTTTGACAGCTTGATGAGATCTAATTGTTAAAAAGCAGAGAATACAGAGGGTCAGACTTCAGGTGACATTGAGTGGTTTGCTGTATAATGTTAATATTCTTTTTCATAGACATTTTGCATAGAAATTCCATAGACAGTACACTAATTTGTGAGCTAAAAGTGTTCAGCAGTTTCTATTCCATATTTAAGGGTTGCCAAAGGCTTCATATTTTGTCAGCTTTTTATCTTGCTTTATTTGGCTTTCTCAGCATTTTTGTGAATTTAGTATTTAAGAAGCCTCCAGTAAAATGCATAGTTTAGACACTGTATGAAATTTGAGACCTTTGAGCAGAAATTAATCAATAGAATCTGGAGTTACAGCATGCAGCGATGTTTGATCAAGGTTTATGGATAAATTCTGTCATAATTCATATTGGGTTTAGATGAAGTCAAGTAGTATTAGCCAAGCTAGTGATCCCAAAGTCAACATGCTGTGCAGCTTATGCTGCCTTGGAAAATTAGATGGAAGAGAGTAGGGCTTCTGATTGCTCTAAAATGAAAAAAATATATATGCATGCTTTAATTACAGGACTTACTGAAAGTACAGTGAACACAGAATTTTGGAAGACTGGTCAGTACACACTTTGCTTGTGTATTTTGCTTGAACAAGTGCACTGGGTAGTTTTTTCTTCCTAGACGTAAGAAAGTATTTGGGAAGAAGAGAAGGTACAGTGAAGTTTCCTTCCTTGTCAAGAAATTACTTTGATGTATATAAATCTTGGGAAACGCACTTTTCTGTATCTCAAAACTCTGAACATCCTGAAGTGTGGTGGGTTTGGTGGCAGGGACAGTGATATTGATAGAGATCAAAAGAAAGAGATTTTTTTTTTTTTCTCTACGTGGACATAGCATTCATTTGAGATTCCACAAAGTTTTAAAACTTTATTGTTAGTCTTTTGTTCTAAGTGTTTAGTGACAGTGTCAATTATCAAGTTGTTACTTTTTTACTTTTTCTCCTTTTTTCACTTCATTTATACTATTTTTGGAAAACATAGTTGTCCTGTATATAATTTGGGAATAGCATTTCTTTAACATAGTATTCTGTCTCTTATCTTGACTCTCATCATTTTTCATATCTGTTGTTCTTACTTACTACTAATTCTACATTTTTATTTCATATGATATGTCAACACGAGCACATTGTTTTCTGCCAGTTTCTGCAGTCTAAATAGTGGGAAATCCTAATGCTGTTCTTTCATGGTTCCAAGCTTAAGTACCCAGTGAGCTAGAGTATTTTTTGTAATTGAAACCTAAAATTTGAGTGATAAAATGTACTGATTTCATACTGCTTAGCATGCTGTTTACTTGCGCTTTTTTTTGTGATGTTTGTCTCAAGCAGGGAGAATCTTCAGGTACATTTATGGTCAATAGCTGCTCTTGTGAGGTAAGCTGCAATGATGATGATATGTTCCCTTGGTCAGAAGAGGATGAACCACAGAAAAACATTCCAGTCATCTGGAAGTCTTTGAGACATAACTCTTTGGATTTCAGTGAGTCTTGCACAACTTTCATTAGAAGAGTAATATTGAATACTTCATACCCTGTTGATACACTGTTAATTATAAGAACACTCTTGAAAAGAATATTTGTGACCTTTAATAACCAGTCTGAAAAAAAGAGACCCTACTGCAATGCGGTTTTGTGACAGGAAACAATAGATTTGTAGTAATGAAGCATTTCAAGTTATTTTACCAAAGGACAGAGTCACAGAGTCACAGAATGGTAGGGGTTGGAAGGGACCTCTGTGGGTCATCTAGTCCAATCCTCCTGCCGAAGCAGGGTCACCTACAGTAGGCTGCAAATGACATCCTCAGATGAACCTTCAAACTACCCAGTGGCCCACCTCTGCCACGTGCCTTCTCTGGGTCTGAAACCAGTGGCTGCTCCTAGGGTGAAGGGTTAAACCTACGGTGCGTGCCGGAGTTGTGGCACGCACCCTTTGTCATCCTGCCCCTCGGGGACATGCTGTGCCCAGCACATGCCCAGGGTCCCTAGGGGAGATGGCCCCGGAAACCATCACAGAGCCACCCAGCCAAACCAAAAATTGCCCAAAACAATAAGTAGGAAACACTAGCAAGCAAGTAAATAGACTTTGTTTGGCATGCCTTGTATAGTCCTGGTCTTCCACATTTATGAACAACAAAGTTAAACTGGAGCAGGGGCAGAAAAACACTACGAGGCTCTCTTTCCCCTCATGAGTTTCTTGTCGCATGCCATTGGAGCAGCTTGGTGTGTTTTACGTAGCGAAAATACGGCAGAGGTGGGATGTGTTTACTGCATTCAGGCACTCCAAGGGTGGGAGGGGATAATCAGAAAGGATGAAGTTATTCAAGCTATACACACCATGGGCACAAGAAAAGGGATGTAAACTGCCCATGAATAAACTTATACTAGGAAACAAAAGGTTTCTGACCACTTGTGGTAGAAATTCTGGAATAACTTTCAGCTGAACACAGAAAGCATCTCTGCTTTCAAAGCAGGATTTAAACAATACATGGGAGGGATGAGATAAGGTAAGCACATAAGCTGCCCCACTTGCAATGACCTACGTGTTGGAATCGACGGGGTAATCCGAATCCTGATGCGAGGAGCACGTCATGCAGGGTACATCGCTGGCTTCCCGTTGGACACTTTCTGCATCAGCAGTGCCTGACGTGGCAGTATGTGCTCAGGTGGAGAGGTCCACCCTAGACAGTGACCAGGGCAGCCGGGTATTTTTTGAGGACCACTGTTTCAGATTGAACTGGGGAAACCAGAGTTTCAAACCCATACTTCTGTGTGTCAGGTGAGCAGCTGCGTCTTCTGCTTGGATCAGCAGAGAGGCTCGGAGAAAAACTTTTGGCTCAGTAGGACCTTGCAGACAAGGCAGGGAGGGAAATGCTGGATTTGAAATTTTAGGGGACCGTAACCCCTTTCCTCCTTCCCTCCCTTCTTCCCTCCCATCTTCACACACTAATGTGTTCTGTTTGCCTGAATGAAATTACTATAATCTGATCATTCCAGTGGAGGGATTGAGTTTTATTTAAAAGGCTTAACCACACCTGTACCCATACACAACTGTTTTTAAATGAAGATAGAAAAGCAAACTCTTTAAAGTACAAATCTCAACCACTCAGCTTGCTTTACATAGTGTATGAGTCTGTCCCCACCCAAGCAACCTCAGGGTGACATGCATGGTTGAGTTTAGCAGCCTAGCAAGTTACTGTCTCCTGGGTGAGCTGCGGTACCTAATCAGATGCCTGATATTAGCACTGTCTTGAACATGAGGTGATTAATGCAAGATAAACTTGAGTTTGTAGATTGGTACCTTACTGAAGTACCACAGCACCACTGTTATCCTGCACCCAAAGATTAGTAAACTTTTCCTGAAAACTGTTTCATAGTGTAACAGTGTTTGATATTGAGTGTTATTTAGGCTCTTGAATATGGATAAGCCCATGGTAGGATGTTAAAAAATGCCTAAACACGTTGCATTTGCTAAGATTATCAGAATCAGGTTAAACACCTAACTTCCATTAAAATTTGGCATATAAGTTTGAAAATCTGTTCCTGTGTCACTTAGATACAGCTGAAAATTTTAGCTTTTCAGTGTCATGTCTTATGCCAAGTCTGTATCAAAACAGATAGAGAAATTTGTAAAAGGTCAGCAAAACTGGAAAGGAGAGAAAGTACTGAAATTCAGAGCTAAATACTACTTGCAGACATATTTTCTGAAGGCAGTGTTGGAGAAGGATTTGTCAAATAGCATTTGGAAGCTGTGTTACCAGCATGCTTGCTTTTAAGTTTCTGTTTTATATCTGTTTGTCTGTAAATACACTTTGAAGATGTTTTTACAGTTTGTGATTTTTTTTTTTTTTGTATAAGTTCTTCTTACTTAAACAATTTTAAATGTATTCTAGGTTAATCTGAAATCTTTCGTTGCTGGAATTATAATGCTGTTCTTCATTTACCCTAGCTAAGACATGTGGACGTTCAGGAAAATCCCTGAGTGGTTACCAGTGGTTTTCAGGTATCACTGCCCACTTCCTTCCATCAAAAGGCAAAAATACTCAAGAGGCAGCAAGGGAAGCGTTTTCTTCTCTCCAAGGTGCTTTATTCAGTTAATCTATTATCTGCTGTTAATTACACTGTTTCATATGTTATTAATTAAGAATCTGTATTGTCATATGGTTTTATAACTTTAAATGTTGTGGTTGTCAGTTTGCCATCTCATTTTGCATTTGATTGCTGTCATTGATTTCAAGACTGCCGGCTTTAATATTGAGCACATCATAATTTGACTGGCTTTTGAAGACCCTAGAAAGCTAGAGTAGTGTTCATATCACTGTAACAACACTATTTCCACAGTACGTACTTACTTTATAACTTGCTTTATAGCTTTCTTGCATTATATACTCTGTGTGTGAGTATGCATGCATCCTGTGGATGCTGCCTACTTGCTAAAGCACTTTTGTAGCTACCATAATTTTAAATAAGGTTTTCTAGAAAGTTGTTGCATATTTCGGCATCTAGGAATAGGTCAGTAGCAGTAAATCTCGTTTATATTCTTAATGTAAAGGAGAAATTGCTGTCTTGGGAATCATGAAATCCAGGTTCCCTACTACCCCTTCTTACAAGATACTGACATGTGAAATAAGATGTTCACATTTTTGTTTTGGGGTTTTTTTCATTCTAAATTTTAAGTAGAACATGTTTATTCAGGTTTCTTTTCATTCATATAAATGAAAATAATTTTTAGTATCTAAATGGGTAGGCTCACATTCTTGTTTGTGAATTTGCATGAGGTACTATCCTATAAAAACTGATTTTTTGCATGTGCAGCTGTGTATTCATGATTGAATATAGGATGATAAAGAAACCCTAGAATTTTTCTCAGAAGCAAAGAAGTTATACTTTGTAGAACATGCTTAAGCTAGTTTTTGATTGTTTGGCATTCAGCAAGGTGGATGTGATCAACCTTTTAGTAAAAGACAATAGTATTTAGTGTAAATCATCTGTGCTTAATCTGTAAATTGAAGCAAAAGGGTTGTGTAATGTTTTATTTTGTTCTCATTGTATTTGAATGGAGATCTGCCAGTACGAATGTGATATATTTTTGCCTTAGCATTTGTCAAAAAAGATTGTTTCTCTCTGACTAATACAGTTGCCTATTGCTTTCAGCAAATTACTTGCATTAGCTGTGTTATAGTCAAGAAAAATAGTAATTTTCTGATCCTTGGTAGAAAATGTCAGTTCTCACATTTCCTTTCATTTTTCTGTTTTTGGAAGTGGGTATGGAAGACTGAATGTATTATGGTTCTGTCATGGCAAAAGAAACGATTTGTTTCGGAGAACTTAACTGATCTGCGAATATGCACAATGCTTTTTCTGAACTCATGCCTACAATCTGTACAGCAGTTCAGTCTTCAGTGCTATGAGAATGGAATAAGCACGGTTCTTCTAACCTTGTCTTTGCTGGGTTAACTGATTTAATCACCTCTAAAGAGGATAAGTGCTGCCAAAAGGATTCAGAAATGAAGATTTATTACGAGACATTATGAAACATGTGGTTGTTCTGTAAAGTGGATGGAATTCTCCTGTGAAGCCAAGAACTGATTACTGTTTACATTTATTTTCTTAAACGTTTCTGTTAAACTTTTCTTTGGATATGATTGGAAGATGACATAAATTGCAGTGCTTTATACATAGAGGAGCTCTGGTGCAGCTGTACCGTGGCAAAGCTCCATAGGCTTGAAGGGAACTACATAGATTTTTATTACACAAAGATTTATTCTAAAATGCTACTTCCTATAGATAGTTTTGATGCTGTCTTTTGTGGCTCTTGACCTAAGAATCCTGGATAACCCATTTTAAAAAATTAAGCTGTACTTTGGCCAATGTTATATTTTGGGTCAGTTATTTTTTGGCAGTTCTGCCTAAGTAAGGATGAGTCTCACCTGATCATATTTTATAAATTATTTGAAACAGTGAATCACTTGAAATTCAGCAGAAACACTGTATGGCTTCCCTGTACATCCTGGAGATGTGCTGTATAAAAGTCCTGCCTTGGGGAACAGAACTTGTTGTTAAGAACCCAAGTGATGGGTTGGAAACTGGTTCATCATTTATGCCTTTCCACTAGGTACAGTGCTTTGGAAGGTCAATTTTATTCTGCTTGCAAGCGAGGGAGAAATTATTTCCCATCATTCCTCTAATTCGTGCAGTGGAAAAGGGGATTGTACTTTTATTTACTTTAGGAAGATTTTTTTTTTAACAATGCTAGAAATTACAAATGTGTCCAAATCTCTTTGCCTTCAGCTTGCTCTAATACTCTTACATGTCCACAAATTTGAATTAGTTTGTTGGCTTATGCATTTTAAATTTAGACCTGTGCAGGGGGGTGGTTTGTTTTGTTTGTTCCTTCCCCCCCCGTATTCCATGTAATGCTGCAGAACTTTTAACTGCAGGCCAAAACTCTTTCTTCTTGACTAAAATGCTGGCTGGAAATCTGAAAAATGTCCTCGTTTCCTCCTTGACTACTGATATAGCATCTAGTATTGACCTAGTGATTGCTATCAGGCAGCATTCAAATGCATTTATATTTCTGGACAGAATTATCATTGTGTGCTAGTATCTGAGCTGATATTTCTGGACACATACCTTGACTTCATAGGAGTTCTATGTTAATTGCTGTATAATCTCTTACATCACTTAGTGCACACTTCCTTTTCTGTCAGTGAGATTTAAATCTCCTCTTCAGATAGCCAACAGTAATGGCAGCAGGACTAAGTAAAGCTGAGACATGTAGAGCGGAATTCAGTATCAGTGTGACCAAACTGGCCTTTGTGGAAGTGTGCTAACTCCTAAACTGTCTCTAAAAGCACAGAAATGTTTTACATAAAAAGTATTTGTTTCTCACTAACACAACGGCCAACAAAGGTTGTCTATATACTCTTGTACTTCTCCACTAGAAATCAAATATATAGGTATATACGGGAACATACTGTAATGTTAAGGGACAGGATCCTCAAAGTTACACTGAGAAGAGCTTTACGTAGCTCGTTCAAGTTAGGTCGCATGGAAGTGTTCTTATATACATTTACATTCAGAGAAGATTTTGTTCTTAATTTAGTTTCTGTTGCTCAGGAGTTACAAAAGGTCCACACTGCAGAGCTGATTCACGTATTTTGTTATGGTGTTGACTATGTAAGAGTAATACATTCTACTTAAGTGCTATGACTGGAATCTTCTGTGCATACCCATTCAGATGATATTACTTCCCAGTATCCTTTCTTTGACTGTCTCATTGAGCTTTCCTCTGCTCTCATCTTTCCTTCATTTCTCCTGTGGCTTCCTCTGTTTCCTATTGTCTGTCTTGCCATTTATAACTCTTTGTTTATGCAGAGATTATTATTGCAGTGAGGGTTTTTAAAAACAACTTAGACAAGCATCCCTCTGGAATAGCATATAAATATTTGATCTTTGCTTTGAAGAGGGTGGTGCGCTAAAGGACCTCTTATTGCCCTTTCCAGTTCTGTACTTTTGTGATTCAAAGTCTTTTACAGATTGCTAGTTGTCATAGACTGAAAATGAAAAAATACGAGATAATAAAACTTAAGGATACAAGGAATTCAGACTGTAACATATCTACAGCATTAATGCATTAGAAGTTTTCTTGGGGCACGTATTCACTACTGCTCAGGGTGGATACAATTTATTTGTATTTTGTTTCTGTCTGTATGGAAAACTAATATCAGAGAATTTCGTGAAAAAATTGGTATTACAGGGGAAAGGTAGTGTGTTGCAAAGACTTGAGTCATGTTTAGGCAACTGTTAGGTTATTGCTAGTTGGTTTTGCTGAACAAAACCAGGATGCCTATGTTGTATATGTACATACATTTCAAATATTCTGTTTTTAACAGCTATATTATTTTAATCCTGCAGCTAATGTGACTTCAGAGGGATTGAAACTGAAGGATATTATTTTGGTTCATCTGTATATGAAGAGCATGAAAGATTTCAATGTTATAAATTCAGTTTATGTGACAGAATTTGATTTGTGTCCACCAGCAAGGTAGGATTAGACTACTGCTATAGTATATTTATGATACACTGTAATATACTGAATTATTGTTACCTTATGAAGCTTTTGTCGAAATGTTTGTGACTCACAGTCTTAGAAATAGACTTTTCTGCCTTTTGGAGTAATCGCATCAGTGCTGCTCAACTCAGAAACACTAGGGTTGGAAATTCTTGCCTTAATATATACCATAAGGTTTATAAATTCCCCCCCCATATGGCCTTACAGAAGAATACCACATTTTTTGCAAGTCTCAGTTTTTCTCTGTGACTTCTGTATTGATGGGATTTTATCTGCCTTTCTTGTTTGTTTGCCTCCATTGACCTGCTGGCAATGCTCCTCTGAAGGCCGCCCAGGATATCATCAGCCCTCTTTGCCATAGAGGTACATTGCTGGCTCTTGTTGAACTCAGTGTCCATCAGGAACCTCCAAGTCCTTTTCTGTAAAGTTGCTGTCTGGCCAATTGGCCTCCAGAATATACTGGAACATGGATTTGTTCCTCCCCAGGTAAAGGACTTTCAGCCTCTCCGTGTTGAACTTCACGAGGTTCCTGTGTGCCTGTTCCTACAGGCTGTCAAGGTCCATCTGGATGGCAGAATGAAAATCTGGTGTATCAGCCACCCCTTCCAGTTTTGTATCATCTGCAGACTTTCCAAGGGTACAGTCTGCCGCATCATCCAGATTATGAATGAAGATTTTGCACAGGATTGGACCCAGCATAGACTCCTGGGGTGCACTGCTTGTTACTGGCCACCTGCGAGATTCTGAGCTGCTGATCTCCACCCTCTGGGCCTGGCCATTCAGCCATTTTTCAGTCCACCTCACTGTCTCCAGCCGATACATCAGCAGCTTCTCTATGAGGGTGTTATGGGAGGCAGTGTCAAAAGCCTTACTGAAGCCTTACTATCAATGAAGTCTTTCTAAAAGTGATGAGGTTGGGAACCTTCTAGATCCTTGTGACAAACCTTATTCGCGTTGTTCTGTTTGTTTTGATAAATACAAAAGCCAAATTGTTAGCTGAGGAGGTGCCAGAGATGAACATGGTTTGATACTGGGAGGTATTTCAAGACAGTACCAATATATACTTACTCTGTTCCTTTGCTTCCCCCGCTTATATGCACTTGGCTGTGGTTGAATATGAATACTGGACTAGATGGATATTTGGCATGATCCAGTGCGGTTGTTCTCAATGTCTTGTGTTTCTGTCAGATAAAGATTGTGAACAGGTAACTGAGCTGCACTTACGTATTCAGTAAGAATGCAAGTATGAAAAGAAATTATTTCAGACTTCTGAATACACTGATGATAACACTTTCATTCATGGATCTCCAAATCATAGCTTTCTAATATGTGCTGTACAGAATCTTCAGTGTTGCATCCAAGTCTATCTCTGACATAGTGAAACAGCTTGACGGTGTAGGTATGCAGTGTGTGATTCCTGTGTTATTTGGGTGTGTTGGGTTTTTTTCTGTTGGAAATTTGATAACAAACACCTAGCCTATGAAATTTTCATCTGCTTATTTAAAAGTTTTGTGTTAAAACTCATTTTCCATTTGTAAATTCTTTATTGCCTTTGTCAAAAAAGGATTATTTCTTATTACAGTAATTCATGTACTTAAGCATCTAAGATAATATGCTCAGTATGCAGAGCTGCTATAGCTTGAAAAATTCAACTTGGATCATAGGTTAATATAGGTTGGAAGGGACTTATGGAGGTCATCTAGTCCAATCCCCTGCTCAAAGGAGGGTCAGCTATGAGATCAGACCTCATATCTTGTTCTTATTTTTAAAACCAGCTGTTTAGCAATTTTCTAATGTAAAAGGCTATATTTTATACTCTTATTACAGAATATGAAGTTTAGTATAGGCATGGGGATTTGAAGTATAGCATGACAAATAGTTAAAAGCATTGTTAAGATAATATATATCATGATAAATTCACATTCTACGACACTGCCTGGGTGTCAGAAGAGACTAAAAGAGAGCAGAAAGAAACTTCTTTGAGATGCTAATTGTAGGCCAGGATTACTAAATCACAAAGGGATGGAGTGTTGGTTGTGTGTCTCTAAAGAGGAGGGATCTAGTCCCAGCTGTAAACTACACAAAAATGAATCTGCACTTCTATGTGTCTTAAGTTCTCTTCATGACACTTGCCCTTCTTCCGATTTAGCTTCTCTCATTTCTCATGTTGCTGCATGTTTTAAGTCTCCATGTTTGCATAGCCAGCTACGTAGTCTTCCATCACTAAAATAACAAGTAGAAAGATTAGGAAGTTGCAGGGAAATGGCTTTTTATTGTTATTTTTATGGAACAAACAGATTTATGTTGCATTTTGTCCAGAAGAAAAATTATACAGCACTTTGCATGGCTGCATCATTGCATTATGCACAGAGACCTGGTTGTGGGAGTTCTCACAAGCAATATGCTGGAAGCACTGACTCAGGGGTGTGGATCTGCACTAAATTTGCAAAATTGTCTTGAAAATTTAACAGCCCAAGCAGAAAATCCATTCATCCATGCTTATGATGATGGTAATGAGGTAAAAATACTGTATTTGCATGTGGGAGGAGGGGAGAAAAATGGTTTTCTTGGAAGAAATAAGCACGATGAGAAAAATTTTGTAAGGTTATATTACA